CAGTAGCAGGTTCCAAAACGTGGGCCCTGCAATTGATCCCTGCACGCATCCTTTTGATGTAAATTTATCAATTTCTTTATCTGCGTATCGCAAATTTATTTTGCGGTTTTCGAAGTAACTATTAACGATTTCCCGGAGGTTTTGGGGACACTTTTTCTCTAATAGCTGGCATTTTATGGCAGGCCACCAAGCATTGTCGAAAGCTCCCTGTATGTCTAGAGATATTATTAAGTTTATCTTTTTGTCTTTGAGATTTACTCTTATGTGCTGTAGCAGATCATACAGGGAGTCTTCCGTACTTCGCTGAGGCACAAACCCATATTGTCTTGGATTACTTTTCAGCAAAATGTGCCATCGTATTCTCTTAACTATCAGTTTTTCTAATATTTTACCTAATATTGAAAGTAATCCAATAGGTCTATAGGCCTTGGGGTGGGTATAGTCGCTTTTACCAGGTTTTTTTGAGAACTATTACAACGGCTGCCTTCCATGGTGTTGGGTAGTGAGTGAGCTGCAAACATTTGTTGACAATTGATAAAAAAAGTTCTTCATTTGTTCCTATTGCTGCAGTACAAATATCCATTGTAAAACCATCAGGTCCAGGTGCCTTCTTCATGCTAAAACTTTCCATAACCTTTCTTAGTTCAGCTTCAGTAAATGGTGGATCCTGGGTGTCATTTGGTAGGTATTCGTGTATTTTTTCAGCTTTTTCTCTCGTTTCCTTTTGTTCAGAATTATCGGTAGTATAGTCATCTACTGGGAAAAACTATCTGCTAACCAAGCCGCTGATTTGTCAGGACATAAAGCCTTTCCATCATTCACTTTGCCTTTTTGTTGTTTTTCTAATCACTCTATAAATTTTATCCCAGAAACTTTCCCTATCCTGATTTGTACAGTACTCCTTCCAACTATTTGTTTGTGCACTAATTGCCTCTTTGTCATATTTCATTTTTGCTTCCAGGTATTGCTGTACTACGTGTTCTCTTCAATGCCATGCAGCGCATCGGATCCTTCTACGTTGCGTTATCATCGCCTTCTTCAGTTCTTCCAGTTCTCTACTCCACCATGGTAAGGATGTTTTTTCTTTTATTTTTAGTTTAGGAATACTTTTTTCACATGCTTTATTTATACCCTCAATATATGTGGCTATAATGCTTTCCAAAGCCTCCTTTGATACAATTTTGCCGACTTGAACTGCCTCAATTCTATTTTCTTCTAGATAATTTTTAAATATTATTTTAAAATCTGTCCAATTAGCTTTTTTAGTGTTATAAATTCTGGTTGTTAAAGTTCTTCTTTTTTCTTGCGGTTTGTCTAAGTTGATGGAAAAAAACCATAGCATTATGATCTGAACTTATTAAATCCTTATCTACCCTCCAATCTTGAATATGCTTAAGTAAGCTTTTATTACATACTGTTATGTCTACATGACTTGTGTATAATTTGCCCCCTCTAATTGTATCAAAGGTAGGCTCTGTTCCTTCATTTAGTATATGTAATCCCATTTCATCCAATGCCTCCTGTAATGCCACCCCTCGATGATCTATTGAAGTGCTTCCCCACCACGTATTCCACGCGTTAACATCTCCTCCAATTAATATATATTTAGCTGTTAGATTGTTGACTATTTTTTCAATTTGTTTAAGATATCTTAAACAATATACTTTGTTTAAGATATCTTAAACAAAGTATATTGATATTGCCCCTATTGTCCACTTATCAGTTTGTAAAATGGCAACTACAATGTTTTCCGTAACCAAAGTGGGGTCTTCTATTATTTTAATATTCGAATCGAAAACAAATATAGCTGCTTTGTTCGGCTTTTCTTTTCTTCGGCATTGTACTATTCTACTACCTGGCGGTTGCTGTACTTCTCCTGTAGCAGCTGTGTAAGGTTCTTGTACTAAGGCTATCTGGATGTTTTTACTAAGTGCTTCAATAAATACCTCTTGTGTAGCTAGCTTTTTTCGTTGTAGGTTTATTTGTATAAATTTATATTCCCGCTTACTAGGATTTCCGTGCAGGGATTGCGTCAATTTGGAGTTAACTTCCTCGTCTTAATAGTAGGCTACGCTAGATCTTGCAATTGCGTCCCACTTGTTACGTATAGGACATCTGTCATCGAAGCTGTTATGGTCGGTTTTTTTCGTTTTTGGCCAGGTGACAGTTTCGGCACGTGGGTACATCTCCTGAAAGCCATCCTGGGCAGTCCGCTCTTAAATGCGGTACCTTAAAGTTAAAAGTAGATATATAACTAATATAGCTGCTGCAGCTATATTGATTGTATAGTTATAACACGAATAAGTCGGTTCGACCGGGTAAAAAACACGCCCTCACAAAATACCAGCGTAAAATAGTAGATTAATGCTTCTGTGTTTCGTATGGTGAGTGTAGAGAACCGGAGTCCCTTTTTACTGAAATAGAGGCATTCTATGTTAGTCCTCATGGCTGACAACGCATCTACATTTTGAGTCGCAAACGAGGATAGATGTAGATGTCTATTAGCCACAGCAACCACTTACCATCAGGTAGACTGTGTGCTCGCTTATCACCCTTATCCTATAAAGAAAAATACACGTCTGCTGAAACAGGCCTCCCTCAATCCTTACAAGATAATAAAGTAATTTTTCTGCCACGCCACTTCATTGTGTATTGACGGACTTCACATGCGTCCTCGAAATTTTGTCACGATGTTCTCCACACCACTCAGAGCATGGTAAAGCAGCACATAGTTGCAAATTAACAATTCGATTGATGCCGGTGGGAAGAAAACCCGGGTTACATGTGTCGTCTAAACTTTACGATGAGCGCTTAACCCTTAAGCAAACTTATCTCCAAATAAATCACTTGGCGTTGCTATAGGTAACGAGAAGGAAAAGAAAAGGAAGTCCTCTCCCAAGGTCGGACCGCCACGGGGTGGCCAGGGCCGTGCATGTGTGCGCTGGCATTCCCGAGTCCCTGTCAATATGCAGGAAAGGTGAAACACCATGGTATTTTAATCGGTGCAAGTTAATCATAGCCTGTCCTTTTCTGTGCAAACGGTATAATTTCACCGATAACAATTGCCATTTATTAGTAATAAAAAGGTACTTTTCATCAGAGTATTGCTGTCTATCTCCTGGCTTATTTTCATCTGTCGCTTCTTTTTATATCCACTAGAGTATAACTTGGGTACTTAAGACGTCCACTTATTACAGTTTTCTTAGCGTGTAGATCAAAATTTTAATACAAATATTTAAAAAAATTGGTAATATTTGTGTTAACTAACTAGCGTATTTTTCTGAGTGCAATTGTGTCAAAACACTACGCAGGACTATTCCTATTCCGCATATTCTACTCATGTTTAATTCCACTTAACGGAAATATGTTTTCTACTTGAAGGTGAGGAAAAAAGTACATAACATAGTCAGTTTATAATAAAAGTGTGTCTGTTCTAAGGCAGATAATGTCCCGACAATGTTGTTTTTTTTTTGTTCTATTATTATTTGATCTATTAATGTGCAAAAGTGATAATTGTAATTACTTATTTATAATACTATAATAATCATATAATGTTCTTCCTAAATGTGAGACTACTATGTTTAGTAGTAGAAGACTTCTTTTAAACTATAATAAATCTGTACCTGACTGCTATATCACCTAATGGCAAGTGCTGACTTAACCGAAGATGTTAAAGATTCTTTTTTATGTCAGGGGGTTCTCATGCTGGTCTACCTTTCCGGTGATCCTGGTATGGAATACGGGTACGCGACCCCGGCTCCCCGAGCTACTGTTATTCTCATACCTTTCCTGCCGAGATAACAGTATCCTTACACCTATGCTCCTACCCCCAAACTTCTTTTTCCTTTTCCCAAAATGGTAGCTTCCTCTACCAGCAATAGCATACCCAAAGAGGGTTGGTGTCAGGCAGGCGGCCGACTGTAAAACTTTTGCCAAATCCCATGCAGTAAATGAATAGTACGAGTTGTGGGACATATGACAGGGCTAGGGCGTACCCCGCAGGCGACGCGCAGGGGCAGCACCCGGCTCCTGTGGGAAGTGGGCAAGGGTTGTCGCACCTTACGGAGCGGGTGCGACGTAAGAGGCGAGCCCGGAGAGAGAAGAATGTCAGAGTGAGTTTTGCAAGCTGGAATATAGGTACGATGACTGGAAGAGGAAGAGAGTTAGCAGATGTTTTGAAACGACGAAGAGTGAATGTTGCCTGTTTGCAGGAAACAAAATGGAAGGGCAATAAAGCAAGAGAGATTGGGGAGGGATACAAGTTTTATTATTGTGGAAGTGATGGGAAGCGAAATGGAGTAGGAGTTGTGTTAGATAGTGGAATGAAAGAACGAGTGACAGATGTGAAAAGAGTAAATGACAGAATGATAGTTGTTAAATTAATGATTGAAAACAAAGTAGTGAATGTTGTAAGTGTGTATGCTCCGCAAACAGGCTGTGAAGAGAGTGTGAAAGAGAAGTTTTGGGAGGAATTTGATTGTATGATGATGGGAATACCTGAGCGTGAGGATGTTTATATGGGAGGAGATTTTAATGGACATGTAGGGAGAGTGAATGACGGGTATGAAAGAGTACACGGTGGATGGGGGTACGGAGTGCGGAACCGTGAGGGGGAAGTTCTTCTGCAAGCAGCATGTGCTTTCGACCTGGCTGTAGTAAACACGTGGTTCCAAAAACGAGATCAGCATCTTGTTACTTATAAAAGTGGCCACCACGCGACACAGATCGACTATCTTCTGATAAGACGGAACCAAATCAAGAGTGTAAAAAACTGCAAAGTGCTTCCAGGTGAAGACTTAGTATCCCAGCACCGAATTCTGCTGGCTGACATCTGCTTAACTGTTCGCCTCAACAAACATAAGGATCGTCCCCCACCCAAAATAAAGTGGCATTTGCTGCATAAGGAGGGGTATGCAAGTGAATTTAGAGAGCTAGTTGTAAACAAGATGATAGAGATGGGTGATATGGAAGGAATGAGTGTGAATGAGTGCTGGAAGGAAATGGCTGATTGTATCAGAAGTGTGGCAAGGAAGGTGTTAGGAGAAACAAAAGGGAAGCGTATGATAGATAAGGATGGGTGGTGGTGGAGTGAAAGTATTGGAGAAGTTTTGAGAGAAAAGAAAAATGCCTTTAAAGAATGGCAGAGCGTAGAAGACCAGAATGAATCCATAAAAGAAAGTAAGAGAGGGGCGTATAAAGAATGTAAGAAGAGAGCGAAGAAGGAAGTTGCTATTTGTAGGGCAGAGGCGCACGATAAATTATATCGGTCCCTTGAAAGCCCCGAAGGTCAAAAACGACTTTTTCAAATTGCAAGAGCGAGAGAAAGGAATGGAAGAGATGTTTCACATGTAAAATGTATAAAAGATGATTCTGGAAGGATTTTGACTGACGATGAAAGTATAAAGAAGCGATGGAAGGAGTATTTGAGAAATTGATGAATGAGGAGAATGAATGGAATGGTATGCTTGAAAACCCACCAGTGAATATGGGCTTAGTGAGAGAAATTAGTGTGGAAGAAGTAAAAATGGCTGTTAGGAATATGAAGAATGGGAAGGCGGTCGGCCCAGATGGAATACCAGTAGAAGTGTGGAAGTTGCTGAGGGCGGATGGATGGAAGTGGTTGAGTTTATTTTTCGGTAAATTGTTGCAGGAAGAACAAATACCTGAGGAATGGTGCAGTAGTATACTGGTTCCCATTTTTAAAAACAAAGGAGACGTTCAAAACTGCAGCAGTTACCGGGGAATAAAGCTCATGTCACATACGATGAAAGTCTGGGAAAGAGTAATAGAGAGAAGAATGAGAGAAGAGTGTGAGATAACACAAAACCAGTTCGGATTCATGCCCGGTCGAGGTACGACAGATGCCATTTTCGCATTACGCCAATTGTGCGAAAAGTACAAGCGCGTGCATAAAGATCTGCACATGGTTTTTGTCGACCTTGAAAAGGCGTACGATCGGGTTCCCCGTGAGGTCGTGTGGTGGGCGTTAAAGATGAAAGGTATGCCTGGGAAGTATGTGAGGTTGGTCCGTGCTATGTACAGAGCATCCCGTACATGTGTACGATCTGCCGCGGGAACTACGGGCAGTATCGATGTGGCGGTAGGGCTGCACCAAGGGTCGGCACTGAGCCCTTACCTCTTCCTACTGATTATGGACGCTTTGACGTCGGACCTGCAGGATGAGGCACCCTGGTGCATGCTCTTTGCCGATGACATCGTGCTTGTCGGGGAAGAAGGCATCGAGGTACAGAGCAGACTGACGGGGTGGCAACGGAGGCTGGAAAGTGTTGGCCTGAAGATCAGCAGATCCAAAACCGAGTATCTGTGCTGTGATTTCGGCGGTCTTTCCAGTCCTGTACCCATGTCGTTGGATGGCGCTATACTGCCTATCTGCTCAGATGTCAAGTACCTCGGTTCCCTCATTCAAGGCGACGGCGGAATAGATAGAGCTGTGCAGCATAGGATTAACGCAGGGTGGATGAAATGGTGACAGGTCACAGCCACAACGTGCGATCCCCGAATGCCAATAAGGCTGAAGGGGAAAATTTACAAATCGATCATCCGACCTGTCGTCATGTATGGAAGTGAATGCTGGGCCGTCAAGAAGAAGGATGAAAATAGACTGCATGCGAATGAAATGAGAATGTTACGATGGATGTGTGGTGTGACAAGGATGGATAAGATAAGGAATGAGTATATAAGAGGAAGCCTGAAAGTAGCGCCAGTGGTAGAAAAGGTGAGAGGAAGCAGATTGGCATGGTTTGGGCATGTGATGCGGAGGAATGAAAGTCATGTCACAAAACGAGTGTTGAATATGAATGTGGAGGGACACACGGGCAGAGGAAGGCCGAATAAAAGATGGATCGATTGTGTGAAGAGTGATATGAGAATGAAAGGAGTAAGTATGGAAATGACGGCTGATAGAGAGGAATGGAACAAAAAGATTTACTCCGCCGACCCCAGATAATGGGAAATGGTTTAGAGAATGATGATGTTAAAGATTCTTTTTCTCAGTACAGTTTATTCTATTGGAAGGCATTGCTTCACTACGATCTCTCCTTGTGGTAAGTGTAATCTAGTAAACGATTTAGCATCAAGGGTTTAATCACCCTAAATACTAAATCGCTATTTTGGCGAAGTAAAAGCGAATTACCTCTTTCTTACCTTGAAGACGCCCAAAGGTTGTTCTTATTTATTTATCCTTAAAATTATTAAGTATTAATCAGAACCAGAAAATCTCATTGTTCGGAAAAGCACATTGCGCAGACTAAAGTGTTAAAATATAAAACGTGCTTTATCGCAGGAAGGCGCAAATAATTTATGATGTGTATTCTAAACGTAATAGCTCTTCGCAAAGCTCATATCTCTCTTATAAAAGATTTGCTACATTTGAAATTCTGATGCTCGTTTATCGTACTAGGTTTCAGTTTAAAATTAAATGACTGTATTTTTAATTTCAAAAGAAATAAACGAATTATGTATCGTTAAATTACCCGAACGAGGAAAATGTTACCAATTTATGTCATGTAATTAAATAGAAAAATACTATTGCTCCTACAACGTAAGCGCGGATATTTCGTGGAATTCTGATGAATTTGGGCCGGAAGTTATGAATATGAAGTCTGTAATTGTTTATACTACTTATAAGGATCATGTTTAATTAATAAATAGTAAAAATTAATAAATTAATTAATAAATATTATATTATAGGTGAATAAAATAAACAATGGAAAATTTCAGTAATAATTACAATTACACTAATAAGTATATTCCGACTAAGCTTCGACTTTCTGACAATAAGTCTTTGCTTGACTTAATTAATTTACTTAATTAATTAGTATTCAAAACAAAAGCGTAATTTCTTCATTATTTTACAAGAAATAAAGCTAACTCAGCAAGCAGTGAAATCATGCGTTTAATTGAAATTTATCTCAAAATTACGACTTTAATATCATTATGATATAGTGTTAATTAATAAGGTTTGTTAATGTCGGTATATGCATTTTGTTTATGTCAAACGTAATATACTCCGAACAGCGACTAACAGCAGCGAGAGTGATGCGACACAACTGGAACTACCCTCGTCTATCTGCCTGCCAAGCAAGACGTTTAAATCAAATCCTCCCAACAATGTGAGTTGACCACGCCCAGCAGTGGAGCTTACGAGCTGATTTTTTAAAGAAGTGAAGGCAAACAACCAAACTACTTACATATTTGTAAGTGATCACCGTCGCCCATGAACAATCCGCAATAACAGGGGTATCGCAGATGCGTTGACGACCTTTTATAAAGGTGTAGGATCATTTCTCTAAGTAGTACTGATCCGGAAAAATCCAACAAACGCAGTGTCAACGTGCGAGGCAGAAAATTCCTCGTAAATTCTACGATACTTGACAACCAACCATCGAGATGAAGAGGATGGAGGCCGGAATGAATCCATACAATTCCTCTTAGTGCTACTCGTAATATATGTGATAGAAAATATGCACAGAGATGAAACGTGCAAAGGCATGCTAAAAGCAAGGCTAGTGGATCAAGCCGATCAAAAAAAGTTGGTCGTCGACGATTCGGGCTATTCTCCGTTGAATGCGGTTAAGTGGAAAGAGCCGATACTGGGGTGGCCCGACTCAGAGATGGGAACAGTATTTAATAAAAGGCCTGTGCTATGTAAAGCTGCATGCGGTGGGCTGGCAAAAAATACTGTCATGATATAATGAGCACGCATTTTTGGTGCCACTTTAGCCTTTCCTTTTATGTAACTGCAGAACTGTACGTCTCTCAAAATATCAACGACAACAATTCTGATGCTGGCTGAGGCAGCAAGAAGAATGACATGAAATTGAGGAGATGCGACAAAGGAGTTTATGGTGAATGCGTAAACCTGTCTTTTAGAGTTCTAACTGAACTAAATTCAGTAGCCTCTAATCTGAGAATTTATTTAATAAAAGCTCTAAATCAGATACAAGTTTGTGCCGGCAGACAACAACGTTTTCCGGAGAAATATTAGCATGGCTGGTGTATGGTGGCCACCAGAGTTATAGTCTGCATATCGATGAATTTTACTAGTATCCAACAGATAATATACAGAAGGAACAGGGTAAGCGATAGCACACAACCTCATGTAACACCAGTGTTCACAGGCTTAGAGTTGGAGCAGCACCGTTGACTACAAACTTGATACTCCGAACTGCAAGAAAACCAGTGACCCAATTGCATTGATTCCCGAAAATCCCTTCAAATCGAAGCTGCGAAAGAAACCCTCTCTGCTAAACCCGACCGAAGGCCTTCGCTATGATCAAATTACCACAAGAGCTTCTTGGTCTTGACTGCCTCTGTCCATCGGTGAGTTAGGTAGACAAGAAGATCACGAGCTAGGCGACTTCATCATAGTCACTAATCAGCTGACGCTCTTCAACGTACCTCATATGCTGGCAGTTAATCATGGATTCAAATTGGAAGGCTTATCAAGGTACGTGTAGTACCTAAATAAAAAATAAGTTTTAACTTAAAACAATTTTTTTCTCTACAAGTTAGTAACAGTACCGTACGTTACAATGAAACGGATGAAACGGAATACATAAAACAAATGGACAACGCATAAGATACCTTGCGGGACTTTTGCAATAAGTATTATTTGCTGAATATACGATACAGGAATACAATTGCTATTGTGGAACTGTCCTCTCGAATCTAGTACAGATTAAAACCTAACTCATTATTGCTATTCGACGTTTATAAGCCTAGAAAATTGTTTGTCCTTTTTATAACTAAAATCTTAAGATATTTAATAGTATACGGATTATATTATATCTCGAGAAACTATTCTTAGGTTTCAGGTAGAACTCGGCCAGAGGAAAATAATCATTGGAGTTTTTCTTCGTTTTCATCAAAATATTTTACCGATATCCTTTTATTGACAATTCTATCCTTTGCCCGTTCTATATTTGGGTTCTATTCAAATTTGAAGTACAACGTCATCTGTACGTGACCGTCGATATGAGCTAAGAGGTTTTTTCGAAAGTTTCATCTATGGGATATCTAATAAAGTATTATTGAGTGTTCTGTATGCCTATCTATATCCTGTGCTATATGAATTGCTTCCTTTTCAAAATATAAATACTTTGCCTTACAAGATATTAATATACCTGGAGGCAAATAATAATATAATTTTTTTTAATTTATAATTTAACTCTCATTATTTGAGTGAATCTCGCTGCAAAATATATTTTTTACTTTTCGCTTCTTTTAACTTATACTTCTAATTAATACAAAACACGGTCCTGAGTCACCTGCATCCATGGACTTCCTGCTTGTTTGATCCTGTCGTCACTACATCAATTGGGGGTCACACAACCCCTGCCCACTACACCATCCAATGTGAGGCTGTCAATCTAGAACCGTGTGATTGTTTTCAACGGTGGTTTGAAAATTCCACAATCACGCATCACTACATAAGTCATGATACTATCCACATAATCTGGGTACTATAGGTTTCAATTTGAGGATTACTACGAGTTATCTTTCTCCCACTTCTTCTTTGTCAAATTGGCTTCAACCGCCGATTTTTTCAAACCAATACGACTTAAGAACTTTTAAAAACGAGCTTACTTCTTTTTAAAATGCCGGCAATGCACATAGAGTTGCAATTGTTTAAATGCAGAGGCACAATTACCTAATGTCGGTGTTGTTTATGGGCAGCACCCATATTCACAGATCGAAGTGATTGAAGTCCTTATATCATAATCAACCCGGAAAACCTTTATCTTTAATTTATTAATTTTATGTCGAACTACGCAGAATAAGTTTTCTGTATCTTGAGATGTCGTAGTAGCATGCTTGGTTTTGATTTATTTTTATTATTTATATTTAGCATTCTTATGAAATGAGGGTGTTTTATTTTATTTTAACTGCCTCACGTATAATTTTTTGTACGTATCAATGATTTTGCGCGAGTATTTATGATTTATTCAATCTGATATAATGACGGGAGCCATCTAGGATATGATTCCCTGCTTGTTGGAATCTCAAAACAGCTACAAGCTCTCTTACGCAGGACTTTGTTAATAATTGTTAATATAAGAGAGACCACATTCACAATCAAGCTTGAACACTTCTGCGTCTTCTAGAGGGATATTACAATGGACGGAACTATGTTCTAACGGACGTTTGCTTCAAGATGTTGTCAGGCTTGTCTGTGACACGTCTATCACATGGTAGTACAGTAGTACAGTAGTACAGTAGGCACACAATTCGACCATAGCCGATATTAATAGGTTATTGTGACATCAGGGCGCGACCCTAAGCTTGTTGTCGTATACAATTTGCTTGAAGTGCTGATTCTCGGCAGCCAGGTGTTTTACTAACAAAAATCCTTTGTGCTCCCTGAAACAAATATTTTTACACACTAGCTAACAAATTCGTTTTAAATAGGTAACGGGATAAAATGGGTCCAGTGTAGTGGCGGGTAAGAATACCCACTACCCCATATCT